GGGGGATGTCGGACACCTGCTCGGGTGATCCTGGACTCGGCGCCCTGCTGGCCGCTGGGCTGGGCATCTGCCTCTGGCTGCTCTGTCTCCGGGGTCCTGGGGCCTTTTCCCTCTGTGGCCACCAGCCGAGCCCCGGGCCACACGCAGCCTTGGACACTCGTGTCGCCCCTGTGACTCCGTCGGGGGCCTTCACACATAGGGGAGCCCCCTCCCCCTCCAGAGAAACCACGGCCACTCCTGTCTTCATGACCAAGACGGACATCTCCGGGCTGGAGATCTTGTTCCACATGCCCCATAAACACAGGCCTGGCCTCTGCCTGCAGGGCGGTCACCCTCGCTGCAGAGGGCGGGTCCCCTGAGGCCTCCCCCTCTTATCCAGGTCTCTGCTGAAAACAGGCCACACAGCTCAGACCCACACATCGGACCAGAGAGACAGAGGAGGCCCCAGAACACAGTGACCTGATTGAGATTCAGGAACAGACCCGGCCAGCCAGCGTGGCTCAGGGGTTGAGCGTCGACCTATGAGCCAGAGGTCAGGGTTCGATTCCCGGCCAGGGCACAGGCCCGGGTTGCGGGTTGCGGGCTCTATCCCCAGTGCGGGGTGTGCAGGAGGCAGCCGATCCATGATTCTCTCTCACCACTGATGTTTCTCTCTCTCCCTCTCCCTTCCTCTCTGACATCAATAAAAATAAATAAAATAAGACAGACCCAGGTTGCTGGGCGGAGAGAGGCCTCTTCTGAAGGTGCCCAGCTGAGCAACGGGGAGCAGACCATGGAGGCCCCTGCGGGGTGGTCATCCGCAAGGGCCCCCGAGCCCTCCAGGTGCCGGCCGGGGCCCGGATGCGAGCACAGCACAGCCCGCCCCCTGCCCACGTCGGGGTGGCTGCCCGGGCGGCCGTGGGCCACTTGCTGTCGCCATCCATGGGCAGCCCGTCCTGGCTGCTTTCTCTTTTGGAACCGTCTGGGGAGCCGGCGTCTGTCAGCAGAACAGGAAGCCGGCCTCTCCGGCTTGTCTTGCTGCCGCGGCGGCTAGAGCGCAGCGAAGGCGGAGGCAGGGCCCGGAGCAGTGGGGACAGAGATGAAGCGCCCGCGTGGCCCATCTGCCAGGCGGGAGGTGCATTCATTATTGATGGACGGGGCGTGCGCGGCTCCGCTACGCAGCCCGCCTGGGTAAATGAGACATTCTTCAGCAAATTGCTTCGTTTTTCTGATTGCTGATTGTGCGCGTGTCACCAGGCTGACTCAAGGTTCATCGATGCATGCTCAGTAAATTAGAAAGAACATAGCTGTGGATCAGCCGGGAGAATGAATGCGGGCCCTACAATGACCCGGGGCCATTTAATTTTCTGCTTAATTTTGTTGCAGTCAGTTTGCATTTTGGGTTATTATGCAGCAGGAAATTAACAATAAATAACAAATTTGGTCCTCCTGCGCCGGTAATGATATTTTTATAAATCTTTGTAATGCCGCCTTTTCAGGGCCCCGGTCTGTGCCCGTCCGAGGCGCCGGCGAGGGTGCGGGAGGAAGGCGCTTTATTCGCGCGGATCGCCCCGTTCACGCCGGCTCTTTGGCGCGCGCTCACATCTAGCTGGCCCGGCGTGACACTAACCCCTTCCTCTCTTCTCAGGGAGCCCGAGGACCATGGACGGCGACGAGGGCCAAGACCTGTCCCAAGTTTCAGGTGAGACCCTCGGAGACCCGTGGGGTCCGGTTGTGCTCCCGGGGCGGCGGGGGCGGGTGCGATAGGTAGATTTGGGGCAGAGGAAGACAGAAAGGCTAATGATTCTAACTTTTTAATTGTATGAAGTCTAAAGAATTATGGAATTACCTAGAATTTAAGCTTTTCATCTCTTTCGCATTTGATCTCTAGCCAAGTAACTACTGGAAAGTAGCTGGGAAAAGTTTGGGGGCACAGTTTAGAATCTCTGCTAGGCCTGGAAGCAGCATTGCTTGCCTTCCCCGTGATTTTTTTTCTTTAATTCACCTGAGGATATTTTCCCATTGATTCTTAGAGAAAGTGGAAGGACAGAGAGAGGGAGAAGGGGAGGGAGAGAAACATCAGTGTGAGAGACACATTAATTGGCTGCCTTCCGCAGCCCCGACCAGGGTTGGGGTTGGAGTCTGCAACCAATGTACGTGCCCTTGACAGGAATCGAACCCCAGACCCTTTAGTCCATGGGCCGGTGCTCTACCCACTGAGCCACACCAGCTGGGGCCCCGTATGTGTATTTCAAGCCGTGTTGGACGCGGCCCTTCCCGTCACAGGGACAGGAAGTGGAGCAGTGAGCTGTAGGAGGAGGCCGAGGGTGGGTCACAGGCCGTCCCAGCGGTGGCACCGGCAGCCCGGCTCCCGGGTGTGTGGGTGAGGAGCGCCCTGTCGGAGCTGCGCGTGTGGGGGCAGCAAATGGGCCTCGGGGGTTCCGCCTGTTATATTACAGCCTCGGCTCAGGTCCGCCCGGGCCGCCGACCTGCCCACTGGTTCCCCAGGTGTCCCTGCATCTGCCTCGTGGTCTGGTCCGTCCTGTGATGGAGACCAGGACCTGGGGTAGGCCCTGCCCGTGGCCGCTCTGAGCTGTGCCCACCTGGAGACGGACCCGCTGCGGGCACCGATGCCCCTCCTCCGTGCGGCTGCGCCGGGGGGCAGGTGTGGACTCGCTCTCAGGTGCAGCGACCAAGCCGAGAGCCAGCTTTTCATCGCGGGCTCTGGGCCCTGGGGGTGCCGCTGGGCGTGAGAATGGGTCGGCGAGTGTGGCTCCTCTCCTAACTCGGGTCTCCCCAACACGCCGTCCAGGTGCACGGAGAGGGGGAGCAGGCGGCGCCGGCACTGGTGCTCACGTCTGAGAACCATGGACGTCGAGTCCTCTTCATGCAGCTCCGGGCAGTGAGGGGATCGGGATTCACTGTGGGGAGGCGTCAGGGCCATGCGGATGTGAGAGTCAACCTGTGCCCTCATTCCTTCACGTGAAGGAGACCCACACACACTCGCATTCACACACTCACACAGTCGCAATCACACACACACATTCGCACAAACTCACACTCACATTCACACACACAGTCGCATTCACATACACACTCACACTCACACACACTCATTCACTCACACACTCACATTCACACACTCACATTCACATGCACACACTCACATTCGCACACTCGCATTCACACACACTCACACATTCACACACACACTCACTCACATTCACACACACGCATTCACATTCAGACACTCACATTCACATGCACACACTCACATTCGCACACTCGCATTCACACACACTCACACATTCACACACACACTCACTCACATTCACACACACGCATTCACATTCAGACACTCACATTCACATGCACACACTCACATTCGCACACTCGCATTCACACACACTCACACATTCACACACACACTCACTCACACTCACTCACACACTCACATTCACACACTCACATTCACATGCACACACTCACATTCGCACACTCGCATTCACACACACTCACACATTCACACACACACTCACATTCACACACACATATACACACACATTCACACACACACATGCTCACACTCTCACACACACATTCACACACACTCACAGAATCACACAGTCACCCTCACACACACATTCACACACATGCTCACACTCACACACACATTCACACACTCACACAAATTCACACACACTCACACAATCACTCATACATACACCACAAATTCACACACACTCACACACTCACTCATACATACTCTCACACACACACACACGCTCACGCACGCTCACAGAATCACACACAGTCACACAAACACACCCCACACAGTCTCACACAATTACACACTAACACACACACATTGTACGCTCACATGTATACACACACAGGCCAGGGCATCGGGAGCATCTGTGCTACCTCCGGGCTGCCTCCTGGAACCCAGGGCAGAGGAAGGCTGTTGTGGAAGAGACGGGACGGCTCCTCACCGCCCCTCTCGGAGTCATTGGAACTGATTTCCCCGAAGCACATGCTTTGTTTTGTAAAAAGATCTCTATCAACAAGAACCAAACGATGTCGTGGAGACAGAGCTGGGCTCTGAGTCTCCGTGGCCTGGCTCCGGGGGGTCTGGCTCTGCGGGGGTGACGCTGCAGGAGGGCATGTGAGCCCTTCCCCGGAAGGTGCCCCCCTCACCGCCGTGTGTGTGTGTGTGTGTGTGTGTGTGTATGTGTGTGTGTGTGTCTGAGTGCACGTGGCTGTGTGTGTCTGTGGGTGTATCTGTGGGTGTGCCTGTGTGTCTCTGTGTGTGTGCGCGTGTCTGTGTGTATCTATGTGTGTATATATGTGTGCGTGTCTGTGTGTGTGTGTGCACCTGTTTGTGCGTGTCTCTCTGTGTGTGTGTGTGTGCGCACACGTGTGGATGGGGGTGAGAATGTCAAAGCCACAGGAGGTTACACATTCCAAAGCAGAAGGAGGCTCCTGCATGGCCTCTGCCCCTCGGCCCTCACGTGGGGTGCGCCGGGGACGATGCCTCTGAAGAGGAGACCCCGTGGCCATGGGTCCCCTGCCCGGGGCTGACCTGAACAAACAACCTTTTCTGTCTGCTTCTTCTTCACTAAAAGAGGAAAATAACACTCTTCTTCACAAAGTTGGATTAAAGAAACAATTTGCAAAAGTAGCCTAACAAAGTACCTAGAAAAGAGTAAATACCCAATAAGTGTTAGTTCATTTCCTCATCCTAAGAAAATGTTATCTAATGTTATTTTAGATAATAAGATTGTCCAAATTCAAAACATTCACACAAATGTTTTAATATTTTAAAGGATCAAGATTATTCTTTTTACTTCATTTCTCTGAAACAAAACATTGGCTTTTTAGTCAACTTTTTGAACACAAATGGTGAAAATAGGCAATATATAGGAAATAAAGTTACCCCAAATCTTGACAAAGAAGTTGACTTTATTTCTATGTGCACCACACTGGGGATGGAGCCCGCACCCCGGCCTGTGTGCTGAGGGGAACAGACCCCTGACCTCCTGGCTCACAGGTCAGCACCGAACCACCGACCACGCCGGCCGGGCAGGTGCTGGCCTGCATGCTGTCCGCAGTGCACGTGTCCGTGTGTCGTCACACAGCACAGAGGGGAGACAGGGCGGGCGCTGCACATGCCTGCTGTTCCCGTGGGTACGTAACCATGTGCCCAGTGAGCGTGTGAGGGCCACACACCTCGCTGTTCTCTACGCTCACACGGCCCTGCGAGGTCAGCCGGCACCCGGAGTTCGGCCTCATTTCCCTCGTGGAAGAGCTCTAAGGAGGGGACTCCTTCGCGTCCCCTCGGTCTCGGGGGCCCCAGAGAGCTCGGCCCCGACCAGCCGCCTTCCAGTCCCAGGGCGCTGCCTGCGGGCCGACTGGGGTGACTCCATAGCTGCCTCTTCCCACCTGCAGGCCCTCCGTGCATGGGCCTTGGGGAGGGCCACCGCCCACGGTGTGAAGTCCGCACCTGCAGAGGGTCTGTCCATCGCGAGGCCTTCCACGAAGGGGTGCGTGTCCGGTGTGGAAACCTTCGGCACGAGGCGTCCTGAGGCGCTGGTCTCAGCGGCCACCCCACAGACTCGGGGCTTTTAGGCAAATCAGGGGCCTCGGAAGGTGCGGCGAGGGGGGCAAGGGGAGGCCGGGGACAGCGAGGCAGCTGGGGGCTCCGGTCGCCCCGCTAGGGCTAAACACGCTCTCTCCTCCGCCTCCTGCTGCTCCGCGGGCTCCTGTCCATCAGGCTGCCCCGGGCTCCGCGTCGCGCCCCCACCGTCTGCATCAGTCCCTCCTCCCCCCACGTCGCACACAGTGAGGTAGCGGCTGGGAGGCGTCCTCAGCCAGGTACAGTCTGTCTTGTTTTCTAATAAACAGATTGGCCAAATTTTTCTTTAATTTTTTACATCATTTTTTTATTTCTTGACAACAGTGGGTGCACACTATTGTATGCATTTCAGGGTGCAGCCAGTGATGAGAACAAAAACAGATCCTTATCAGGGGACCATCTGTAAACCTCACACCCACCGGACAGGCACCTGGAGGTTAGAATACTGACGACCTGTTCCCTGGCTGCACTCGCACCCGTGGCTGCACCGTACCCACCCACTGCTGCGTCCAATCCCTGCACCCACCCCCCACCCTCCTCCCACCGGGCCATCCGCAAAAAGGTCCACTACATTTTATTTTGAAATAATTGTTTATTTTTAAAAGTGTGTTTCTATCCCTGGAAACAAGTTTCAGCGTAGTGATTTCAAATGATAAATTGATAGAAATAAACTTCAATGAAAATTAGATGTTATGGGCTGTGACAGTGTACCTTGTTGATGTATATGTGTGTAATACCTGGACGTGTAACGTGCTCATTAAATACCAACTTCTTGCTCACATAAACCTGAAAATGTGCTGTGGTTACTTTCCTGTCTGCCTGTACTGCCGAACTAGTGGTGTGCACAGCTCTTCAATTTTCCCTAAAAGCTTCAGTTTTCCTAAACCACGCCTTCCGTTCCGGGATCGGGCTTCGGTGTGTCCAGCTCTCAGCACTCGCTCTGGGATTGCCTGTGACCTTATTGTTTAACTCAGTGGCTTGGCTTCTGCTGGTCCTCCCATTTTTTTGTTATTTTTTTTTCCTTCCTTTATTGATTAAGGTATTACATATGTGTCCTT